CTCCAGCGCATGCGACTTCGTCATGCCAATGAGCCCAAATTTCGTTGTGCAGTACACAGACTGAAGCGCCGAGCCGCGAATCCCAGATACACTGCTTACATTGACAATCGCAGAGCCGCGTTGCAAATAAGGAAGGCACGCTTTCGTAACGAGAAACACGCCTTTGAGATTCGTGTTTACGAGTTTATCCCAGTATTCCTCGTCGGTGTCTTCGAGCTTCATGCTCGTGGGGTTGACGCCGGCGCAGTTGAAGACGTAGTCGAGGCGGCCTAGCCCTTTTATCGTGCTGTCGACGAATTCTTGGACTTGGGATGAGGAGCCTACGTCGACTTTGCGGAGGTGGGTGGGGGTTTTGCATTCGGAAGCTACGCTGCTGAGGGCGGGGAAGTTGAGGTCGCAGAGGGCGAGGGAGGCGCCCAGGGAGGAGAGTTTGAGCGCTGTTGCGCGGCTGGGGCAGGGTTAGCATGATGGGTTTACTGGGGAGGATGAGGTGAGGTGGTAAGAAGCGACGGAGACGTACCCGATACCGCTCGCTGCGCCTGTGATGAGGACGACCTTGTCTTGGAATTCTTTCGTCATGTTAGGGAGGACGAGTTTGGAAGGTTAGTCTGGATGTCAAGGCGGACGGAGAGTAAGAAGTAGACCGCAGCTGCGCATGTAAACAAGTCTAGCATGCATGATGATGAGTTCGGTCGTGATGTTTGTTTGGTTAAAGGGTGGGGTAACACCTGGAAGTGGGATGTCATAGGCATGACTCGCGTACCTACGGGTTCTTGCATTATCGGAGACTCCACCTCATGCACGACTTCCAGGCTTCCCCTGGGTTTCGTGCTCGAATCTGAAGGTTCTTTTCGCGAGTGAATCCTGCTTCATATGTGGGGAAGACCTTCATACTGGACATGACTAGCAGTGCAATGCAATCCTGAGCCTCAAATATCACAGAGAACGACACTGTGCAATCCAAATGCGAGTATAGACGTACCCTAGGCACGCCGGGACACTATAGTACTCATTTTGACTGTTGCTGGTTCGTCGCGGATCCCTCGGTTACATTGGCGCGCGACTTGGGCTCGTTCTTCGGAGATCCTTCGGTTCGATTGGAGCGCGATCTTGACCTTTCGCCACCTCGATCCAGGTTCTCTCTTTCGTTATTCGAATGTCCGTCCTTATCTCGTCGTTCGGCTGCTTGTGGATGAAGGCCACCCTTCTCTTGCTGGCTGGCGCCGTCATCTTCCTGATTCCCACTCTTCTTTCTTTGGTTCTTGTTCTTGTCTTCCTGCCCAGTATCTGAGCTACCATTCGGCCGGTTGTCATGTTTTGAACCACCACCGCCGTTGAGCACCAACCCACGAACTTTCTTGACCAGATCGTCGACCTTGAATGGTTTGGAGATGACGTCGTCCATACCGGCTGCGCGCATGCTGTTAGTCTGCGCTTCCCGCACGTTTGCAGAGACACCGAGGATGTGGCTATATCCAGCCTTGCCCTCATCCTGCAGTTGTCTGATCTCTTGTGTCGCCGCATTGCCATCTTTTATCGGCATTTCCTGGTCCATGAGTATGCAGTCGAAGTAATTGCGATCATTGGGGCCGTTGTCCGCCAATTGTCCACGCTCGGCGACTGCGTCGATGGCTTCCTGTCCGTTGTTCGCAGTAAACACTTGGAAACCACGGGATTGGAGCTGCCGCCTCAGCACTTTCTGGTTGATAAGGTTGTCTTCCACGAGGAGAAGGGTATGTGTGTCTTCGTTGCGCTGGTCGCTCTGGGATCTCGTAATCTCTTTCGCGTCGTCCTCCTGGCGTGACGTCTCACCTCTCCTTAGGTCGGGTAGTTTCCTTTCCATATGTGGCTTTTGTGTTCTGATATCCTCGGTGGCCTTCTCCGTCTCTTTGTAGCGCGAATCCTCATTCGAGTCCGGATGCGACTCTGGGTGATTCTCTACTGGTGGATGCTTGAGAGAAGGATCGACATCCTCAGTATCCACACCGCCATGACTTGCGAGCGTCTTCGCTTCAGGACGCTCATTCTTCCGTTCTTTGATGCTTGAGAGATTCGAGTTTGCACGACTAATGGGTGGACGAGACGGCCGCGATCCGGACTCTCCTGGCCGAGAGGAAGAGTTTGAGGTTTCCGAGTTGCTTCGAGATTGTGTCGGCCGCCCCTCACCATTCTCGCCGACCGCGCGACGCACTTTGAAGAAGAATCCGAATGTTGAACCTTCTCCTTCTTTCGAACTCACGCCAATGTCTCCACCGTGCAGTGTGCACACTGGGCATATATTAGCTAATGGCGTATGAAGCAGGGGCATTAACTCACATTTGCGTGATATGAACAGACCAAGACCTGATCCGCCATATCTCTCCTGTGTCTTGGGTGTCGCTTGTCTGTCATATGGTGAGCTTGGTACTCTTGATGTGTTAGAGAGACAACGTACCTGAATCGTTCGAACAGTTTGGCCTGGCCCTCTTTGCTAATGCCTATACCAGTATCCTTGACGGCCACCATCAAGTACATGGCATCCCCGGCGCCCCATTCCGATGTCATTGTGGAATCAAGGTGGAAAGCCTCTTTCTCTTCACTGAAGTAGATGACATTTGGGGGGTAAGACGTAGGTCGCTTGACGGATGCACCCATGGATACAGTGATGTTTCTGTCGCCATTCTTCTTGGAAGTAAACTTGATAGCGTTGGTTATCAAGTTGACCAGTACTAAAGACGTCAGCGTGTCTTAGGAGAATAGCACAAGTTATTCACCTTGCTTCATGCGGTTCAAATCGGCGACAACATGGTCCACTTTCTGTTCCTCATATGAGATGTCCATAGCATAGTGGAACTTGATGTTCTTGGCTTTGAACTCGGAATGGAAAACTCGGAGTGCTTGGGAGAACTCCCATTTAGGTCTTGTTGCTATGGTATTTTAGTGAAATGGTCATACGTCATGATTGTGGGAAGACTCACGTCGGGGTACTAAAGACAACATCATAGAGTCGAGCTTGGAAAAAGATAGAATGTCGTCTACAAGAGTGTTCTGGTGTGAGACGCAAAGCAGTATAGTGTCGGCAGCGTCCAAGATATCGGCCACCTGGTCGTGGATGTCGTCGTGTTGCGCCCCAATTTCTTTAGTAATCTCTCTCACTTCTTCAGCTAAATGCAGGACGGCAGAAAGAGGATTTCGAATCTCATGGGAAACCATGTCAATAAACCTCTCCTGTTGCTCCTTGCGCTCTTTGGCATCATTGGCAGCTTTCTCTTGGGTCAATTGGGCATGTTTGATATCGGTGATGTCGATAACGGCGCTAATAAAACCGGCATCAGCCTCCTCACTCAGAGGCTTGAGCAAAAAAAGTCTCCACTGCTCTCCCTTGGACTTCATTTCCTCGGGCGCAGCGACATCGCATCTAAACTCTATCTGCAGCTCTGTGCGGCTTTCGAATGCCTTGCGATATGCAGCCATGACGTCTTCGTAGTCGTCGGGGTGAATGCTCTCCGGCCACGATCGAAACTCGTTGTTGCCCTTGTTCGTGGTCAGCTTAAAGAAGCCGTCGTTCACGAAGATGGCTTCGGCCTCCTTGTCGAGAATGGCCAGGCCATTGGGCAGTAGCTCGGCGAAGCGCTGGAACATGTTCGTCTGCATAGAATCTGCTTGCTTGTGTTTACTGTTGTGCTTGCCTTTCTGTTGAGACTCATTGTCCTTGACTCGTCTCCCTGGATTTTGGCGCGACAGTTCATCGATGCCCTCGATGGGCATGTAGCGGTCTACAGGCCGGTTCTCGAGCAGTTGGGCCAATACGCCCTGTCGTGTGCCGCCCTCGTCTAAGATAGTACTGAGGAGAAGCTGCGTTTCATGGTCTTCGGCGAAGTCCTTGAGGAAATACCTAGCGGCTAGAAGGGTCAGTTGGCTAGATGCAGGAAACATGGTCGTAGCTGATGCTTACCCACCTTGACCGTTCGCCCTCTCAGCACCGTTCGTAGCGTGCCGAGCGCCTCATGGCCGTAGCTGTCGCGCGCGAGGGTGGCCTGGCCATCAAGACCACCCCGTGCCTTCTCCCAGGCGAGGTTATGTATAACTATCAGGTCCTGGCCCCAGAAGATGGCGCTGCAGTGGGGCATGGGCAGCACGCACGTGTGGACGAGACATGTTAATGCAACAGGCCACGACTCGCGCGAGCCGATGGTTGTTTTAGTCCTGGGCGGTTGTCAGTACGGGCCCAGCAGGAGCGCATGCATCTTGGCCGTCTGCTCACCAGTCCTTGCGCCGCAGGTTCTCCGCATTCAGATCGAACACTGGCAGACCCGTCGCAGACAGCTTGTCAAGGTTCTCCATGGCGCAGGTGCAGGCGAGCGCGCTCGGCTTGTCTCAAAGCGAAAGCAGGTGGTAGGAAGAAGTGCTGGGAGAAGGAAGATCCGCGTGACGTCATACCACACCCCACGAGCGCGTGCCTGTCAAGAGGCGACCTGAGACCCGGGACGGCGAAATTCTCACGGGCATCCAGGGCTGGGGCGAGGAACAGGACATATGAGTACGAGAGTCTACGCGGTCTAGGCCGGCAGATCATACTGGTTTTCGATCTCTGCAGCGCTGGCTGCACACGCCGGGTGATTAGCTGGTTATCATCGCCGATTGGGTCGTCCAGCCTAGCTTGACTCGGATTTCAAGGCACGTCACTTGCCCCGTAATAGATTTTTGACATTCAGACGCCAGTTTAGTGTTGCGAGCTATGCCCTACGACATCTCGACGCCACACCTAGCCTCGCTTCTGTCTCTGAACAGCTGAACAAGGCATCATGCGGACAAGTCACAACCGCAACGTTAAACAGCACGACTCCAGGTTGAAGAACCAAGTGATGAACGAGTGGTATAGATAAACTCAAAAGACAATGGCCCGCCATCACGACCCTGTAGTGAGCCCCATAGTACCTGAGAGTACCCCCGAGTACCTCCGTCGAAATGCCGCCAAGTCATAGAGACGTAGCAATACCCCTCACCGCATCTGCACTCAATCAGAACTGCGCGATGCCATCCCTCTCGCAGCCTGACAAGAACTGGTTCCAGTCCATCACCAGTCGACGACCTGCCCAAGTGCTCGTGCTGAACTTGCCGTCTCCATTGGCATGACCTGCATCACCCGTACTGTTGTCGGCCTGGCCATCGAGACCATACTCGTGCTCTTCACTCTGCGTTATTCCTGCATCGTCATTACCAACCTCGTCCTCCATCTCAGGGATGACCTCCTCGGCTTGTCGAAATAGCCGCTTTGCAGCTGCCGCCTCGCCTACATTCGCGCCTCCGCATCCAAACCCACAGATGCGTCTCCCGCAGGGACGCCAGAATCTGTACTCAGCGACCTGGGGTTCAGAAAGCGGGCAGACGCCGAGCAGGCCCGAATCGACGCTGCGATTAGACGTGTAGAAGAGCATGGTACCGGAGGGATCAATGGGTGACGTTGCCTCCGACTCCACGCCGTTGGCGATAGCAAAAGAAGGTGATGCCGGCTGACGGTGGGAAGCTGACGAGAAAGATCGAATAGATGAAGGAGGAGACGCTGGGTAGGCGTTGAGATTGCGAGCGCTGGGATGGACTTCGAGTTCAATCCTTAGATCCTGCATGGACTTTGGCGATAGGTCTTGGTAACCTTGCTTTCCGGCAAACGTCTTCAGCATGGTCGTACGCGGAGATACACATCGTGATGGACTGGCCGGAGGACTCGCGAGACCTGTGATGACTTGCAATGATGCTGATGGAGTGCGGCATCCATTGCGCATTTGCTGAGGGCCCAAGAGAACGTTATCGATGAGACCCATCTGTAACGCATGCTGATCATGCCCATGAGGCTCGCAACGAAGGGGAGGCCAGTACGTGGCTGAGCCGTCGATGCTCATTGGGCTCACCGTACGCACTGCAGGGCTCATAGCGCGAGGTGTTGCAGCTCTATTTCCAACGTCAGATGCAGGTGAAGGGTAAGCTTCCTTTGCCGGCAGGGTAGGGGACAATGGCGTTGGGAATCCAGGATACTTTCTTCCAACATCCGTCAGAAGTGACAGTTGTGGCTTCATTGCTCTGGGCTGAGGCAGAGCAGCGCTCAGTGTACCCATGTTGTAAACAGGTCTATTGTCGCCGTATCGGGGTGGGCTCACAAAGCCATTCGCCGAAACATCGAGCGAGCCCAGCCATGAAGGAAGTCGGTCATGCTCGTCTGCTGGCATGTGCTGAAAACAGCTGTTTGTGAAGAAGCTTGTGGGACTTGTGGGACTATTGGTATTGCTGGAGCTCGAAGACCCTTCGCCCGTGATACGACGTAGAGCCAGAGCTGTGAGTGGGTTCATCGGCTCCGCTCGGGCGAACCGAGCATCGTCGCAAGACCACAGTCCGCCGTACTGTTGCCACGGAAAGTTTCGTAGGAAATAGTCTTCTGGATACACATCGTATCCGAGGGTGCGTGCACGGAAGAAGACGTACACGAAGCGGCACTCGGGGAATTGACGAAGTACCTAGAAGAGCAACGTTCAGTAGATGTCATAGAAACGGACTGTGCTATTATATGCAAGGGTCGGGCTTGAGGATGGATGCTCATACATCCCAAGCGGGAAACAAAGGCGGTGATGCGGTGAGCCTGAGCAAAGTCAGCATGCGACAAACGCTTATTGACTAATGAGCATACATCAGAATCTCGTAAGCAGCGTATTTCTTAAGCTTCCCAGCTCCGCGACGATATGCGTACAGAACCTCGGGTCGAGCTGTCCTGATGTTTTTCCGACCAAGCAGCTTATGCATCGCAGGACTCGTGAGATACATGGGATCGAAGACGACCAGATTGCATGAGCCGTCAAAGCGGCGCTCAAAACCGACAATGCTGATCGAGTGTCCTGGTTGCTGAAGGTAGATAGGCGGTAGAAGAGTCTTGGAGACATTGGATCCGTCGCTGGCAGCCGCTCGCGCAAAATATCGTTCCATGGCAGCGAGGAGAAGCTCGTGGGCCGCAATGGCGCGATATTTATTGTCGCTGAACTGCTCGACAGCGCAGTTGATTTCCGAGTTGAGAAAAAAGGCTTGAGCCTGATACATGTTAGTAGAGAACAGTTGAAGGTAAGTAAGATGTCACCTCTGGTGTGCCAATGTACTTTCTGGTATCACGGATACCACCAGTCTGAACACGGCCGATTGAGTTGATGCCTTTGTCCCAGGCATCTTCAATGTGGTCTTGCATCTTCAGAATAGTTGGCAGCCGTCCTGGAAATTCTTCGTAGCCTTGAGCCTTGGCGCCCTGAATGTAGGATAGCAGCATTTGTATGTTCCGGTAACCGCAGAAGCCACCCTCGCTTGGGGTTTTACCAACGTGGAGTGTCGATGGATGGCAGTAATATGCTTCCTTCACGGTCCGATCAAGAGCAGATAGTTGCGCGAGGATGGGAATGATGCCTGGCGTCTCGTTCTGCACCTGATCATGCTTGATTAGGCGGCCATCTCGGCCGATGCGGTTGACGGCAGTGATCTTAGGGCCGGCATCCAGCTGATCGTGCAGCCACCTAGGCATTCGATTCTCCCAAGCGTAGGGTCCCAGTTCGGATTTCTGCGGGGATTAGCTAGGCCCTGCGAAAAGGACGGTTAACTTACACCTAGCCGAGCACTTTTGATCGGTGGCTTGACGGACTTGTCGGGTTTCGCAAAAGGATTAAAACCTAGAATACTCCTTCCGATGGTACTCTTCTCGCTCTCATCGGTGTCGCGCCGATGCCGATGTGGGTGCTTCTTCGATTTGCGGCCGTGAGCATCAGTCCTCTTCAAAGCATCTGACAAGTCTGTGCTGAAACTTCGCTCGGATGTTGTGATCCTTGACTGACTCGCATGGGAACGACGAGATGAGGTCGAGCCTTGCATAGTAGCGGATGAATGATGAGAATGATACTTTCCTGTAGTCTCGTCAAATGATAAAGTTTCTGCGTTGTGGTATTCGAGATGGTCGTTGAAGTCGGAGAGAGGAACGAGTTCGCCGCAGTTGGGGTCAGGGCACACTGTGGTGCTTTCCTCCTCTTCTGAGTCGTCGGAGGAAGGCGTGTCCTCAGTGTCGTGGCGGAGTGAGGAAGGCCTGAGGGGCAACGACGGGGGTAACGGTTCTGGGTCGTCTTCTATCACGAAAGGAGAGTTCGCAGTATGCACTTGCTCAAAGTGTAGTTGGAGAATGTAGTCATCTTTCTGAAGCACGGTGAAGTTACACATGGGACACTCCAGAAGCTCCATCTTGCTCGTCATCGCTGTGCAGGTGATATCCTGGATGTGAAGGTGTCCAGCACTTTCCTGCTCCAGGGATGTATGGTGAGTGACAATTTGGGGTGACTCGTTGTTCACGTGTATGGAAACCGTCACCTCGTGCGTATATGGCTGACTATGTTGTGGCAGTCGCTGTGGACTTCCGTAGCTTAGCATGACGAACGCGGTTCAGACGCAGACGAAACAGCAACCCACGAGTTTGGTAAACTGCACACATACTGGAGACTCGCTTATGAGGTAAAAGCGTTGTTTGCAAGGAAACGATGGCGTTGGCGGTGGAGATTAAGCCGGGGTGGACGTGAAGAAGGTGCGACGCTCGTGGATAGCCGAAAGAGGAACACAAACAAACACGCCAAGACGCGTAACGCGATCTCAGTTGCAAGCTTGAAGTTAGGATGCGAGTTCAATGCAAGCTACGTGTATGGTATATCGGTGTGAAGATGATGGGTGTGGCTGACAAGTGGGTCGCAGCGAGGCGGTCAGCCGCGCATGATATTGGCGGTTGGACTGGCATGGCTGCTGGATCTTCACAGCTTTTCAAGCGCGTAGTATATGAAGACTGGCACATGTCGGAGGTTAGCAATGGCTGTTATAGGTGAAGTGTCAAGCTACGTACAAGTGATGGGCATTCAAACGGTCAAGTCGCCTACGTCATTAAGCCGCCAAGACTTCAAGGATAGCATCTGCGGCGGGTCTTGCGATGTCCGCAGACCTTCTTCCCAATGCTGCTCCGGACCCCACGCGCACGTCGGATTGCCTGGGACAACGCGAATCGCACGCAATGGCGAAGAATACCGCTGCGATGCTATTCTTCAGCCAATTCGGAGGATCCGCCATGGTTCCAAGAGCTGCGCACCGAAATGTTGCAGCGAGACGTCATACACCTTCCTGAGTTCATCGCCACTCCACACGAATTCAAGCTGTCGCAAAGCATCACAGGTTTCTTACCTCAAGAATGGTGCTATGCCCCCGGTGTGCGTAGTCGCATGGTGCCGTTTGGCCATCACTTGATATGGTTCAATCCCGCGGTGCGGACAACCGAATTACTCCCAGATGGAACAGACGCGTCGCAGAGCCCGGGCGGGCCGTGGGTTCGGCGCATGTGGGCTGGCGGCTCGATACAAGTACGACCCGACGAGTACTACGACCGTAACCGCGGCTTTAGAGTCGAATTTCCCATGTCTGGAACGGAGCACATAAAGCATGTCCGACTGCATGGAGAAGGCGACACTGCCAAGATCTTTGTCACAATCGAGCGGCGTTTTGCACGGGTGGACACCCTAGGGAGAGCGTACATCGCGAAGCATGGCAAACTGGGAAAGAATGGAGGTAAAAAACTAAAAACTTATCTCGAGCAGCAGTTGCGCGACGGCGACGATTGGGGCGACGCCATCGTGAAGGAGGAGCGTAACCTGGTCTTTTTCAAGGAGCGCACCGCCGCAGAATTGGACGCAGTCAAGGCCGGGCAGATGGCCACCGTGAAGTATTTGCAGCGTGCGTACTCTTGCAAACCTCTGGACTATCTACTGACTCTCTGTAGCGCCTGGAAAGCCAGACTTCTCACATGCCCTCACTCCCGACCGCGCCCTTCTCTTCCGCTTCTCTGCTCTTACCTTCAACGCCCATCGCATACACCTCGATACCGAGTACGCTCGTAACGTCGAAGGCCACCGCAACCTGCTAGTTCACGGTCCTCTTTCCCTGCTCCTCATGTTGAAAACCATAGGCCATCACGTGTATGCACAGACCGGTGGAAAGCACGATCTGGAGTCGATCGAGTACCGCAATCTAGCGCCGCTATACTGCGACGAAGAGATGCGCATATGCGGCTTGGAGAAGAAGAAGTTACAACATGGCAGTATATACGATGTATGGATTGAGGGGCCGACTGGAGGTGTTGCTGTCAAGGGCACTGTTTACACCACAGTAAAGAATACTAAGCCGAAACCACTGGGACCCGGCTCTAGGAGGCCAGACATTACAGCACTCAATGCTGCGGCCAAGAAGACGCCAAAAGCGCAAGGCAGCGATCAAGTTCGCGTCGCATCAGAGAACAAGCGGCCATCCCAAGATCTGCCGGCGCCTTCGGAGCCTACTACAAGTCCTGAGCCTCCTACAAGGTCAGAGTCTACTACAAGCTCGGAGCCTACCACGACTCCTGAGTCCTCGACGGGTTCTGAGCCTGTATCTCAGCCCCAAGGTGAGACTCCAAACATATCTACTCCCAGTGAAACTGCTTCTCAACCATCATCTAGAGAAGTAAACCCACCGACCGCACAAACAACAAGCCGAGCGTCCCGCCGCAAGCGCGCCTCCAACACCACGGCCTACAACTTTATTTCCCTCCCTCCCAACAAAGCACCGTCTGCTCGCGTCGTCGACTCGTACAAGCCAGTGAAACCGACGATATCGATACGTTCGAGGGAAATCATACGACGCGCTCGTCGGCGTGCCCCGAAGGAGATTCACGTCAAGCCTATACCGCTGGTTCGCAGGTTCGATGCGACACCGTATACCCCAGACCCTGTTCGCACGGCTTCGAGACATAGCAGATATTTGAGGGAGGGCGCTAGGAAGATCGAGAAGCCTAGTGTGCGCTTTGTTGCGGAGCAGCTGTCTGAGCGTGCGGCGCTGAGGAAGAGGATTGGCTTTAGATACGTGCATCGGTGAGGTCTTCAGTGGATACCCGCTTTGAACTTGGACATGTGAGATTAGGTGTATATAACACGGTTTATTCCACCCCATTCCTGTAACAAGGGCTCTTCTCTACAATGAAAAACACGCGTTTGAACTCATTACCGATCTAGTTCATTGATCAAGCCGTGTTATGTTCCTCGACGTACATCGTAGCTTCATCACCAATGCATCAAATTGTCGCTCTCCTAAATGCTGGATCCGACACACGCATTGATAAGACGAATGAATATGCAACACCTGCCTGTTTACAGGCCGAACATCAGGCGCATGAATCTTGAAATCAGGAACGCCAATCCATGGGTATATTCCTCCGTGTATCCTTACGCCACGCCATGGTACCCAAATAAGATCACAAAACGTCAGCGTGAGCTTCCCAACCCTAACGCCAACTGCGAGTCCAAAAGATGAAAAGAAAAAGAAAAGCTTGCAGAGCTAACAGCCAGGTGTTGAGAGGAAGGAAACAAGGAGACACTATCTACAGCGGTCGGTCGGACACGCGGTGAGATCCAGGGCGCATGATGTGCGCTGGTGCTTTTGATGCCGCCAATAGCGTCGAGCTCACTGTGAGAATGGTCTACGATTCGAGCTGTTCTTGCGGAGCAATGTCGTTGGTGCTGACTGATGCTTCTCGCGATCGGAAGAGGTTGACGATCGGCTCCAGGAGCGCTTAAGGGATGATGGCGTTGGCGATTGAGGCGATAAGTGTGCGCTAGATTCAGCCGCGTTATTTGACTCGTTGTATCTCTTGAACAGTCCGACTAGCTCCGTGTAGTGGTAATTCATGTCCTGCTCATCCGCGTCGTCTAGATCGTGGTATCCTTCGATGCGACAAGATACAAACGATTCGGAACAACGTAGTGTCAGAGAAAAAGATGTAGACTAGAAACTTTTCATTTGCTAGTTGAGGAGAAGCTTCTTCGGCCCTAAACTCCATTTTCTTTTTTCCTGAACGCCAACAAAGAGCAACCCGCTATCCTACATACATGAGGCAAAAGTTGATAATCAAGAATGACACGAAAGATCCTTTCGACGGGCTTACGACCAACACTTGAGCTCGTCTTGGGAACAACTCCGACATGAAAAGCCCTGCAAAATATACCACCGTTGATGTACTAAACGTCATCCTCATCTCCGACTATGTCATCCTCATCGCAATCGCTGCCATCATCATCGATCTGATTGCCTTGTGTGACAATCCTCCACTTTTGTGAGAAGTTTTGCCTGTGCTCTGGAATGCCGACGACTGGCATGGATACCAGTGCAGCCTTGATCCTGGAATCTATAGCTTTGGTGTCGCTGCTTACGTTCGTTACGGTATTGTGCGAAACACCAGCCGTCCATGTGCAGCAAGGGCGACCGAGTGCCATACAGTTCGTACACACGCTGCTGTTTTTCTCGTCCTGAACGCAACTCTTGTTGGGAAGAACGCCCATTTTGAAGGCCCCGTTGGTGTCCATGAGTGTACATCCATCACAATTCTTTCGGGCGCTGCTACCCTCTGGAAAACCATAGACACCTCCCACTCGGCCGAATCCATACTTCGGTTGCCGCATAAGGGTTCTCATCTCGTGGTCAGATCTTGCACGACCAGAGATCATAACGATGTCGTTCTTCTGATCCCGAAATCTAATGATCTGGTTCATGAAGTCGTACTCGTTCTGCAAGGCAAAACACGCACCGCCTAACCTAGGTATCCAGCCGTGGGTATGGTTTGGTGTAGAGTTCGTAAGCCATTGGAGGAAGGATATGGCCCCGCTGTATGTTGGTAATGATCCTGGCACCTGATCATCGGCGAATCTAGTGTAGATATTCGTGCGATGGATATAAGTGAAACGCCACTTTCCGGAGCCCAGCGGATACTCCCATTCGAGACGGCACGCAAATGAGTTTGCCTGTCCCCAGTTCTCGAAGGGACCAATGTCGGAAAGCCTCGCCCACGCATGCGGGTGGGGTGTTCCGTCTTTTCGAACTTCAAAAACAACTTCGACGTGAGATCCAGAAGGGGGGTGCGTTTGCGCGGTCCTTTTGGCGGTATTAGTCCAAAGAAAGTCGACAACGGGCTTCCGCTTTCCGTTCTTGTACACCACCCGGCACATGGCACTTCTCGTGGACACACCGGGCTGTGATGTATGATGACCAGTACGTCGATAGTAGGCCATAGGAACGACCGATCCTGTCTTTCCGTCTTTGATGTTCACATCAGTTCGAATATAAAGGAATTTGTCGTTCCTGGACACATATTCAAACAAAGGGGAGCTGCCATTAGCTCCAAACTGTACACCGCATGACTTCGGTCCACGACTAATGAAGCCCTGCCACCCAGTCGTGCGAAACACTGCCTCGGAGATGCCTTTGAAGTATTTGGCCGTTTGTACGGTTCGCAAGGTCCCAAGAGTTGCTCTAGATGGATCAGCTACATTTGGTTTGTAAGTCTCCAGCAGACAGACGAATATTTGTTCGGTAAGAAAGAACATTCCATCTTCTGCTGTCTTGGCGAGAATGCAGAGTGCAATCATTACAAGACTCTGGGAGTTTCGTGTCATTTCTCCATAACTTGAAGTAGAGTAATCGTGGTTGTAATTGCGGGCGGCAAAATCATTGGTCTTACCAACGTAGGCATAGGTGGCCTTTGGCGTCCATAACGTTACGTTATTGTTGGTAAGATGCATCCTCAGATAGGCACCAGCTTCATTGGAAGAAGTGCGGTCGCGTATCTGATACTTGGCGGCCTTGATCAGATCCACACCTTTGAATGGCTTGTCGCTGGCGAGAATGTAATAAAGACCGGCTTTTTTGATACCATCGATGATGACCCTGGTGAGTGCTGAGATGCCATGCCTGTCGATGAGGTCCGTGATTCTGCCAGAATCGAAGGATGGAGGTGAATGTCGAAAGGCCGTTATAAGACAAGTGATGGTCTTTCCCAAGACGGTTGAGTCAGGCAGAGACGAAGGTGTCCACAGCTGGTTGGTGCTTATCGTCCCTGATGTCTGTAGATCCACGTTCCAATTCTCAATGTCATCCTCCCACGGCGGACCGACGTCAAGGTATTGGTGAGGGACCCAGCGGTTACCAAATCCGTCACCCTCAGTGACGCCCTGGATGAAGATCTTGGCGAAGCCCTTGCCGTTATCGCCCATGTATTGTCCTTGCATTCCTTGCTCGTACTGAATCGATTGACTGACGAACTTGGTGTTGATACGGAAGGCATGTATCGCTGAAGCTTGCAGATGAGGAGCAATACCCACGGAGCCTCCACTGGCCCAATCGGTTGACGCTACGGCAGCGGCAAGCACGTTGTCAGAGATGCCTTCGGGAACCCAGGCCATGGCGGAGATGTTTCGAGCGTCCTGCTCGATGTTAGATCTCGGTAGTATTAGGGGAAATAATGTGACTCACTTGGAGTTGGTATAGTGGACCGTTACTGCACACCCGAAGCGAGGAGGAAAGAAAGCCTATTCAGCGATGCGTCAGCTTGGAGAGTGTCAATATATCTCGATACGCTGGGGACTTACTTAAGAGCCACGTCCAATCGATTGAGCTGGCCGGTCGGTGTAGGAGCAGGTGGAAATGATACGGCTACAAGGAGCGAACCGCGGGTGCGGTCTTCAAGGGTAGGGCGAAGTAGATGTAGAGGAGAAGTTGATGTGAGAGTGAGCAGCAATGGTACGGCTACAAGAGGCGCACGGCGAGCAGCGAGCCTGGTGTCGTAGTTTGACGCAGAAATAGAGAAGACAATGGCGTAGAAAAGTAACGTGTCGAAAGCATCTAGGCAGTCTTCGATCGTCGGCGCCCGTTAGCGTAATGCTCGTGGCGGCGATTGCGTCACAGCAAACGCAAAAGCGTGAGCAAGTTTCCACTTTAGGCAGTTACTATTGTGACAATCATTCACATCGCAATCAGCCTTGCAGGCGACCAATCGTACCTAGGTATACCCGGCCCGGGATCCGCCTGCTGCAACACACATATCGATATCTTAGCGAAGCAGAAAGCGTAGTCACGCGAACCTTTCACAGGAAGTTATAATCCCAAGCTAGCTTCCATGTCCCTGCGCCACAGACTCTCTGGTTTCTAGGTAGCGAACGGATTTCCAATTTTACATTGTTGGAACAGTCATTTCAGGCCTTTCATCATAGCGAGAGTGACCTACAGGTTACGGACCCTCATATTGAACGCAATCTGGTCAGTCTCCGTCATACACCCACAGCCGATACATCTACGTATTTTACTAACTGTCCACATAGTAACTCTGCCCCTACTACAATTCAAGGCAAACCGTTATCCCACATGGCTCCCTACGTACCAAGCCATGAACTTCAAAAGTACGGTGTTCACCAGAAATGCGCTTCCTCAAAGTGGCACGAGGATGAATTCAAAACCTATGGTCCACTGCCCCCCAACTACTCTGTGGAGCGCCCAAGCACAATTGGTAAAGCCAGAGGTTCAGTCAGGGAGCGTTACACTGAGCTATCTTCCGCTTCCTCTAGGATGTCAAGATCCCATCCACTGTCGCCCGCGGGGCTGAACTCAGTCCCGAATCCGGTCGTACACGACGAACAAGACCTTAATCGACCGGCTTCTCCTTTCGTCTTCGATGCTCCCATCAAATATAAAGCTGGAACGAAGATGCGTTGGCTTCACTCCGATACACCGCAAGTGGCGCTGACTATGGCGCTTGTCAGCCACGGGTTCAAAAGCAAGACGGATAGGACAAGACCTGTAGACGAGGCAGATGTTAGGGCGACCTTTGACAGCATTACCCCACAAGAAGCCGCGGAGCCTACAAACTCTGCTCTTTTCTACCCTGCAGACCGCGGAAGTATAGTCTTCCCAGAGGAGCCCGCTGTCGCCATAGTTGCGCGGAAGTACGGATGCAGCCTCATTGTCATTTGCCCTTTCATGCGCGCAGACAAGATGGGCTATAACCATTTCTACAATATCAAGAACCGGCCACCTATGTACGCCCGATGGTCGACAGGGCAGCAAGCGCAGGCAATGCCGCTCGTGTTGGGTTGTCTACCCATGCACAAGTTCAACACGAGTCCGTCTTACGAGGCCATGTGGTTCTACATTGAAGCAAACAGCATCGACCCTCCGGATTGGTATAATGGCTTCTACACCCAGTACGTGACCATCATCATTTAGCTCTTGGATAATTACTAACACGTACAGGTTCAATCTCGGTAGTCTGGCGGACAATCTCGGCTTTCCTTTCGCCGAACTCTCACCCCAAACCTTCCTGTGGACACTAGTCTACCTTCATCGTCAACGTATGACCGGGCTGGCGGTTCCTGATGATCATCTGGGATGCTGGATCTACCATTTCGGTTGGCATCTCAGCGTTGAGGGCAAACGAGTGAACAAGTACTCTGATTTGTTGCCATTCAACTACGACAACGCGTGGCTCTCGGACTATCAGAGGAAGCATCCAAACGCGAAGCTGACTTTCGACCGCCTTACACAACTGACTCTCAACCCGAACATGAACGCTAACGGTATATCAATCGGACAATATGCAAGGCTGTGGGATGAGGCATTCAGTGCAAGGATTCAGTATCAGCAGGACCAAACGCAGGCGAAGTGGGTAGTCTTCAAGACCAAGATGGAAGCTGCGACCGAGCTGCCACATCTCTGGAATTCCTAGTCTCAGTGGCCTCTTTCTAAGTTTGAACTGCGTCATGCTATTGATACGTACATGACTGAGTCTTCTTAGATAGAATAGAACTGCACATACTGTACAGCCGCTGATAGTCGATCCGGACCTACCTAGGTAGTTAAAACTTCCAATACGAACAAGACAGAGCAACCCCAACCCTATAAACGCGCAGTGACTCATTTGCTTTCTGACAGGGGCTTTCTTTATCTCTGTGTGCGTAGGGAAGCATGGTTTGGTACTTCCCCGACACATGAGTCCTCGCGCCTTCCTGGTCGTGCCTTCCATCTGAAGTAGCGTGCCACGTGCGAGCGCTTTCATGCCTCATTTGCAGATTCCTCACCTCATGTCTCCTCATCTGACATGAAGTGAGTAACCAGACATGCTGCTGTGCGCGTGAAGCGACTAACGTGCTAAATATAGTTTCACTTCCACATTAAAGTCGGGTGTCGACCTCTTGGCCCGGGCTGGGAGGTCAGGGCTGACGCCCGAACCTGACGAGAATGGGATCTGTACGTGAACTTACTCAGGCTTCATGTCATTACTCCTGCTTCATACTAGGAGCCGCACTCACGCGCACATGGGCATGCGTTGATGTGCAGCATTTCACAAATCCTCTTTCCTGTAGCATCCGACTGGCAGGAACATCAATTCGAATACCAATCAACACACCACGCAACATAGCACTCACTAACAGTTTACTATATAGTTACAGAAATTACTCAACGTATGTTTGCCAGTTGGTCCGCCAATCTTATAAGACTATGGTATTAATACATTGTAGCCTACTATGACAAGCAAGACGCCGCGCCGCTATCCGGCGAGAAGATGAGCGAGCCTGAGCCTATTGGGCATGAAGACGGTATGCGTTTCACTCTTACAGCTTCTGCAACTCCGATCCATGAAGCTCGTGTACCTCTTGCTGCATTGATGCATCTCTTTCTTTTTGCTCCATGTCCGCAATCGTCGCTGTTCGGCAGATCTTGATTGAGCTCGAACTACCCGGCCTGCGCAATGAACATGCTTATCTTCTTGAGATTGTCTGATCGTGATCGAATTTCACTCACACATCATAGAAAAGAAAGATGAGGAGAAGGCCGCGGCCCTTTCGCCACCGCCGAAGCGACGTGTAAGCAATACCTTTTTCATGTCATGAACATTCAAAGCTCGAAGGATCCTTTCAGGGAACGCATCTATAGACGCTTTGGGATCTGGGAGGAAGCTCTAGTTATGGAGCGTTGCTAACTCTCTTGCAGAAACTGAATAAAAAGAAAATTGTTGTTCTCGAGGACGGGGACAAGGATGACAAAGACGCGGAGTTTGCTGTTCCTGCCGCGGCCCCTTCTCCGCCTAGAGGGAAAGAAAACAAGGGCGAACTGCAACGTAGACCCGCATCGAAGCGTAAAGCCGCAACGGATGCCAAAGCTGCGATGAAAGGCCTGTTCTGATCCGGGATGGCGCCATTGGCCAAAAGAGAGAGCGCTTGAAGATGAAGCGCCGAGAGCGAAGACGGAAATCGAGCAGGCTAGGAATACGAAGATGCTGAAAGAGTTGAGCAGTGGACCGAGGGGAACACTCTGGCAGCTTGACGAAGAGCACCTGCACGTTTGGAGATGTATCGAGGTGGTGCAGAAGGTGCATGGGGCGGTGAGCCTTAGTGCCGAGCGGCGGGAACTATTTTCGATGTTCGGTGTTGGCCTTAAGCGCATCGATGGTGATATGTTGATGGTCAGCCAGAAGGCGTAGGCAGCTAGCTGACCCGGACGGGCCGGTTGTAGTAGGGTTAATGCACACAACGCTCATCCCCGATAATTGAATTCTACACAAAACCTTGGTGTACCTGCGGTCCAGTAGAAATCTCAGGCGCTGACAAACGTGAAACGTGAGGCTGGCGATGGAGTTATGGATCGAAAGCCGAGGCTAGCTCGCGGATGTGGTCATAGCGCCTTCTCGATGATTCCAATCGTCGAGCGACCCAAATTTTTAGAGGCATCGAACATCTGCGACCACTCTTCTCCGCATCCTCCTCTACATCCACACTATTCCTGGTTGTCTTGCATAAAGCTGGAGTCTAGGAGCAACATTTGAGATTCCTTCTTCTCTACCTACACATCCCAATTCCGTCACAATGCAAAGAGCTTTCGCATCGCGGGCGCGGACTTCGGCCCTCAACTCGAGCTCTAAGCTCCGATCCACCAGCTACAACCTCCAGCAGCAGAGGTTTGCGCACAAGGTACGGCAATTGCCTATGTACATCTTAAAAAAAGCAAAACTGAGAATTAGTAGGAACTGAAGTTTGGCGTCGAGGCACGAGCAGGACTGCTGAAGGGTGTCGACACACTTGCAAAGGCCGTATCAACAACACTGGGTCCCAAGGGTCGCAATGTATTGATCGAGTCGAGCTACGGCTCCCCCAAGATCACCAAGGGTATGCATGAATTCCCCCTCCGTCTCTAACATTGCCCGCTGACATCATTCCAGATGGTGTAACAGTCGCAAAGGCTATTTCGCTCCAAGACAAGTTCGAGAACCTCGGAGCCCGCCTGCTCCAGGACGTCGCCTCCAAGACCAACGAGGCTGCTGGTGACGGTACCACCACTGCCACCGTCCTTGCCCGCGCCATCTTCTCCGAGACCGTTAAGAACGTTGCCGCCGGATGCAACCCCATGGACCTGAGGCGGGGTACCCAGGCCGCCGTTGAGGCCGTCGTTGAGTACCTCAGGGCGAACAAGCGGGACATCACCACCAGCGAGGAGATTGCGCAGGTTGCCACCATCTCCGCCAACGGCGACACACACATTGGCAAGCTTCTGTCCAACGCTATGGAGAAGGTCGGAAAGGAGGGTGTCATCACCGTCAAGGAGGGCAAGACCACCGAGGACGAGCTTGAGGTTACCGAGGGTATGAAGTTTGACCGCGGTTACATCTCCCCCTACTTCATCACCGACACCAAGACTGCCAAGGTCGAGTTTGAGAAGCCTCTCATCCTCCTCTCCGAGAAGAAGATCTCTGCTGTCCAGGACATCGTCCCCGCTCTCGAGGCTTCCCAGCAGCTCCGCCGTCCTCTTGTCATCATTGCTGAGGACATTGACGGCGAGGCGCTTGCCGTCTGCATTCTCAACAAGCTCCGTGGTCAGCTCCAGGTTGCCGCTGTCAAGGCTCCCGGCTTCGGTGACAACCGCAAGTCCATCCTTGGCGATCTCGCTGTCCTGACCAACGGTACCGTCTTCAGCGACGACCTCGACATCAAGCTCGAGAAGGCCACCCCCGACATGCTCGGTTCCACCGGATCCATCACCATCACCAAGGAGGACACCGTCATCCTTAACGGTGAGGGCAGCAAGGACCAGGTCTCCCAGCGCTGTGAGCAAATCCGTGGCGTCATCAACGACGCTACCACTTCCGAGTACGAGAAGGAGAAGCTTCAGGAGCGCCTGGCTAAGCTCTCTGGTGGTGTTGCCGTCATCAAGGTCGGTGGCTCCTCCGAGGTTGAGGTTGGCGAGAAGAAGGACCGCATTGTTGACGCTCTGAACGCGACACGCGCCGCCGTTGAGGAGGGTATCCTGCCCGGTGGTGGTACTGGTCTCCTCAAGGCCTCCGCCAACGCTCTCGGAAACGTCAAGGCTGCCAACTTCGACCAGCAGCTCGGTATCACCATCGTCAAGAACGCCATCACCCACCCCGCCCGCAAGATCGTCGAGAACGCTGGCGCCGAGGGCTCCGTCATCGTTGGCAAGCTCATCGACGAGTACAAGGGTGACTTCAACAAGGGTTTCAACAGCGCCAAGGGCGAGTATGTTGACATGATCGCCGCCGGTATCCTCGACCCCTTCAAGGTTGTCCGCACTGCTCTCGTTGACGCCAGCGGTGTTGCCTCGCTCCTCGGAACTACCGAGGTCGCCATCGTCGAGGCACCCGAGGAGAAGTCTGGACCTCCAGGCGGCATGCCTGGCGGTATGGGTGGTATGGGAGGCATGGGCGGAATGGGCTTCTAAACACCTGAAGTCTAGCCGTCTGTTTTCTTCTTCTTATACCCCCATTCCGTTATAATGACTTTAGTCTTATGCCTTTCCCAGCGATGATTTATGTACACGATATTGGGTTGGTCTCCGCTCTTCACTCATGATTTCTCAAAAGCGCAGCATTGTTGGATATTTGGTTTTTATTGTACAATATTGTGTAAGAGTCTCCTGGGAAGGACAAGATGTATAAAGCGACGAAGGAAATATGAACAAGTTCAAACGAGTTTTCAAGATGCACAACATATGCTTGAGTTATGAATGCTGCAAGGAATAGGATCGGTGGATCACATTATACACGAAAAAAACTGAACAAATGCCTCCTAGAAGTCTCCATTACCTTGAAGGATGTGTGAACTCCAGCCATTACACTAACGTACACGGCAGAGTATCTGTTCAGTTTTTTCCTTGCATGAGGTAGGATGTTTTGACGGCTGACAGGGCGTTGCTGTGGCGGCAGAGCCAAACTAAACCTTGTAACGTGTCTGGTATCGTGCCGTGCTCCAGGGCTTGAAGGAACCCCACTAGGGTACGTGCATCGAGAAAACCCCACCCCACCTGCCACTACTCGCTCAGCCTCAGCAATCACACTCTCCTCCTCCGCCTTTTCTCCCGCAAACACATCAACTATCCACCCAGATCAGTTTTCTCTATTGACGTAAGCTGCCACCGCTCCCTGGCCGAACAGGCTGCCATTCCTTTACTGCTGCATCTTCGCACGCGGCAATCGCAACGATGACGACGACGCTGACAGGCAACCACAGTACTGATAAAGCTACCTGGCGCCTCGAACCCCCTCTAGCATCCTCTACTTTACACATCCGACATTATGGTGAGAACATTCAAGATGCGTTATTAGAGAACTCGAACTAACAACGGATACAGGCTCAATCCGGGTACGTACTGCAAAACAAACAACAGGGCATCAACAGCTGTCGCTGCCCGACGACCGCGCCCGCATAGCTCCCCCTA